GACTGTCAAGACAAAATTTACAGAAAATCTTAAGTCCTAATAACCAAAATTGATTCATGGCTTATGGCTAGTAGTTTGATGGGTGCACAGTGCACATCTGTAAAAAAATCTGCGGGACAACTGCAAAAAAGTAAATATGGGTTGCATACTGGATTATATCAAGGAATTTTTACTTATTTTTGTTTTGTTTTATGACATATTGTAGTTATGTAGAAAAGCATTCTGATAACTTAGAGACTCACACTTAAGCGTTCAAGGGGTGAAATGCCCTGATGTTTGTAATTTACGTTCTTTAAAGATTTATGGAAAATGTCTGAAATACTAAATATCGGTCATGGATATATGGAGGTTCATTATATTAGTCTCTACAATTTTCTATGCGAGACATTCACCTTCTTTTAAATATAAAGAAGCAAAGAGAATTTAACTTGCTCAGGGTCACATAGCTAGTAAGTGGCGCAACTAAGCTTTATGATTCTGAGGATGTATCTCCAGTTCATAATATTAACCGCAATATTATTCTGGGTTTGGCATATTGAAAATGCTTCTAAAAATTCTTGTTAAATACGCGAGGGGGAAAACGAGTGCAGAAGGACTCGCTGTTCCTTTTTCATCTAATCGCGAAAAGAAGTACTGGTATGAATCCCAATTATTCTGTTTCTCTAAAGAGCCACGTCGAGTCGGACAGAATTGTTATTGTTCTTGCCAGAGCGGCACGCACAGCGCGATTCATTTGAAAAACCTACTTCCTCGAGAGCTGCAAAGCCTTTTCCCGTTTCAAGTGGTTTCGGGGAGGGTTGGGGAGGAATAAGGTGTCAAAAATCACCTGTGACCAGGTGGAACTGTCCGCTGAAGGGGAAAGGATGGCTCTATTGAGTAGCAGACTCGCACGAAGGTGACCCTAAAAACACCGCCTGCCGGCGCTGCCCTGCTCCTGAGACTGAGACTTGAACCCAGATTTCCAGAGGGGGCCCTCCCTCCTGGTGTGAGAACAGACAGGGCGTTGGGCACCGGGGAGACAGAAGCCATCCCAGAGCCCCTTACCTCATCCCGGCACTGCTTCTGGCACATCTGGCAATACCAGCGAAGCTTCTGAAGTCCCTTGGACTTGATCCTGTTGGCGATCGCCTTGGGAGTAAGAAAATCGGATTTCCCCATCGCGGCGACTTTGCAAGCCCAGCTCCCAGGCAACCGGAAGCGGAATGAGCAGGCTGGGACGGGCGCAACAAACGCCGGCAGGAGTTGAGTGACAGAACGAGGTAAGCGCTACGCCCCCAAAGCTCGCGAGATTTCCCTCCGTCTGGCGGCAGGCTGCGAGGCGGAACGGGAAAGAGGCTAGGGGGAGGGCCTTGGCATGCTTCTGCGCACGCGTGGTAAGGCCCGTCTGAGCGACCTTCAGCAGGGCCGGCACCATCCTCACCATGTTCTCTCGGGCGAGCGTCGTTGGGGCCTCGGCCTGGGCTCTGCAGCCGCAATGGTATGGCTGCTAGCGGTGGGAACGGGAGGATTGGGGCGGGAGGAGGAGGAAGTGGGGCCGTGTTCGGATGGACCCGAGGTCTCAGGACTGCACTAGGCCTCCTTCCTCCAGCCAGCCTCGGGGACACGGGCTGCAGGGACGCGCCTTAGAAATAGGAACGGGCCGCGGAGAGGCTGGAGCCGCGAGTCCGTGCAAGGTCACGCCACGTCTCCTGAGGCTTGACGGGGCGGGCTGAGAGGAGAGGAGTGGTCATCTGGGACCTCAGGGTTGGAACTTGAAGACGTTCTTGATTCCATTCATCCGGTACGTGCTTAGTGCGTGCCACCTACAGTGCCCCCTGTGGGTCCTGTATTTGTGGGAGCCACCGGTGGGCATGGGGGACCCGACGAAAAAGTCTAGGGGAAGGTTGTGTTGTATGCCCTTGACGCCCTTTGAAACCCTCCCAGTGCTGGGCAAAGTTTGAAGTGCGGCCCAGGCAGGGCAAAGTAAAATCTTGAGTTCGGGTCAGCCAGCACATTTATTAAGCCTGCTATTCCAGGCTCTCTGATGCTCACTGGAGACATGAAGGTGAAATTTTCAAATACCCTCGTGGGCTTTTTAACGCAAAAAGGGACCTTAAAAATACGCGGTTGCCGGGAGAAGGAAAAGACGCGGCTTCGTACTGTCACGAAGCCCTTGTGCTGAGGTGGTAACCCCTGCAAGGTCATGAAATTGTCCCGGAGGCCTGAGGGAGGATGTAGAGGTGGCTTCGAGTAACTACCATGCTGGTAGAGTGCTGGGAGTTTAAAGGATTCAAAAGATTGGTTCCTGAAAAGAATGCTTATCAGGAGGTCTGGGAAAACGTAGATAAAGTTTGATTTAGTGATGGCACTATAG